GGCGGCACCGAGTCCCCACTGAGTTCACACCGATACCGGCCGGGTCTACACCGGTATCGGTCACGGGAATCCAGAGCGGTACCGGGTCCGTACCGAGCCCACAGCGGTACCGGGTCTGTACCGGCACCGGGAATCCAGGTCGGTACCGGGCCTGTACCGAGGCCACGCCTGGACCAGGTGTACGCCGGTATCGGTCACGGGAATCCAGAGCGGTACCGGGCCTGTACCGAGCTCACTTCGGGTCCGTACCGGGAGCGGCACCGGAAATCCAGAGCGGTACCGGGCCCACACCGGCACCCAGGTCCCCTCCGGTACCGGGGTCCCCAGCAGGTTCACACCAGTACCGGCTCCGGTACCGGTACCGGGATTCCAGAGCGGTACCGGGTCCCCACCCGATCCACACCGGTAGCGGGTCCGTACCGGCACCCAGATCCCTCCGGTACCGGATCCCACACCGGTACCGGCTCCCCGACCCCACCGCAGTCCCCTCCGCACTCCCGGTCCCGGTCCCGGTTCTGGTCCCATTTCTGGTCCTGGTCCCGGTTCTTGTCCCGGTTCTTGTCCCGGTTCTTGTCCCGGTTTTGGTCCCGGTTTTGGTCCCGGTTTTGGTCCCGGTTCCGGTGGGACCGAACCGCGGGGTCCAACCGGCACCGGGACATTTGGGATGGACGCGATTGGGACCCCCCAAAATTTGGGAACCCCCAAAACCCCCCCCACCCCGAGCCCCTCCCGGGGGTCCCCGGTACCACCGGAACCGCCTCCCGGTTTGGGGTTTTTTTTTGGGTTTGAATTTTTTGGTTTTTTTTTTTGTGGAAAATCCAAATTTTTTGAAATTTTTCCTCACTGCGGGTCGGGGTCTCCGCGTGCTCCCCAAAAATTTGGATAATTTTGCGACCCCACCCCAAATTTTCCACCCGGATGAAAAAAAAATTTTTTTCTCTGCCTGCGTAATAATCATTATTTTTAATTATTCTCATTTTGATCGCGATTATTTTGATTTTTT